TGTATAATTTTCTCTTATTCATATGGTCAGTATATTTCTGCAGTGCAAGTGCAATAATCCATGTCAACTACTGTGTAGTCTTTCCTTAGCTCTCAACTGTGCAGACGTGTTTATGCCTAAAGGAAACATATTCCAGGACTTGACAACCTTTTTATGCTCTTTTGTACAATATACACTCTTTTTATATGGTTTGTTGTATTTTTATCTTTAATGGCTAGGGTTGGGAATTGAAAAGATTTTCACGATTCCGATTCCCTTTTCGATTCTATGAAACGATTCGATTCTTAATCGATTCTTTTTTCGATTCCAATTTGGGGGAAAAAGGAGAACAAACAGTTTGATTATCAGAATCAACTTTGTTTACTTAACTATTGCACAATCTTACAAACTCAAAAAGATCAAGATGTCCACAGGAAATGTGAAACTGGAGTAACATCTGTGTTTAAATGAAAAATGAATACAAGAACAAACTTAATAACCAACCATGTCTAATAACAAATGATGGGATAATAACCTATTTTAAATAACAAAAAATACTAATTATAAAACAGTAGTAGGGAAAATTAACAGTTCTTTTGCAGAAAGATGAGCATATCTGCTTTTTCTGGAAGGATACGGGATCTTTCAGCGCTTATGGTGTCTCCAGCCGTGGAGAACACCCTCTCAGATGGGGTGGAGGAAGCCTGCACACAGAGGTAGTTTTCAGCCAGTCCAGATAGCAAGGGCAGCGTATCTTGCTTGTTCCACCACCACAGTGTGGCGCTATCCCTGCAGGGGATGGAGGGCAAGCTTTTATAGAGCTGGATTTCCTGATCTACCCTCTGGGCTAAGGAAAGACGGGGCTTTGATTCACAAAGTGACCGCAGCACGTTGTCTTCCTCCTCGAATAGTTCTTCCAACTTGCGTAACTTGCGTAACTTGCGTAAGTTGCGTAACTTACGTAAAAAACGTGACGTAAGTCGTGCTCCCCAGAGCTGGCGCTCTCGGCTCTGGTGCTGCGGGAATCGAAAAAAGAATCATTCAGCGAGCTGCCAAACGATGCCATGGAATCGAAAAATACGGAACCGGTTCTGAACAGGAACCGGTTTTCGATTCCCATCCCTATTAATGGCATCCTGCTTTAACTCTGCCCTTTGTACTCTATATAAGCTACTGGAACCAGAATTTCCATGAAGAAGTAATCCCAAGGGATGAATAAAGTTGAGTCTAAATCTAAGTCTAATATAAGCTCTTAAATAAACTATATAACAAATAGCACCAAAGATTCTGTTTCAGCCAGCTGGTTAAAGTGCTGAATTTAACATCAGTTTGTAGAATTCTGATCGCATTTAATGATTTCTAAAAGTTGTTGAATAGATTTTAGCATGAGTACAACGAGGACTGTGGACATAGCAGTCCCTACTTTCTGCACTGATAGCGTGGGAGGCCATTTTAGCATCATCTTGCTCCTCTAGACTCTGTGGGTAGCTGATAACATGGGTGTGTGAGTGTCCTGCATGACTCAGTATATAATTTAGTGGAGGAAGATCCACCATTGGTGCCCATCACTTTCCCGACTTTGATGTCACTCGATTAAAGGGTCCCACCCAATCTGGTTTCCACAGCAACGCTACTCTGTAGCACTGTGTTGTGGAATCTTTGAATAATGCATCAGCAGAGTGTTCATCCTTGCAAGGGTGACTTCTCCGAGCACACAGGCTACGCATCCTGTACAGAAAATTCAGACTGATTCATGATGCCGAACATTGAGAAATGCTGACAAACTAAAACTGAGTTACTCAACTGTTACTTTAGTGTTAACCTTGTGACTGTCTGGGGCATGAACCTCTGCATAAATGGTGTGTTTTTTTATTAGTATATATACTACATTCTTTCTGCAAATGTGCCGCTCATTTTTTATGAAATAAATGGATGAATCTTGGTAACAAACAGTTGAACAGCCATCTGTGTTTGGGAAAGATGATGCTTATCTTCCTCTCCTCCCTTAAATTGCATAACTCTATCACCTCAACTTCCAACGTTTCTTCTCCAAACCATTATTACCTTATTTTCAAACCCCATTAAACCCGTCTGAACTAGATACCAACCCCCGTTTTTCCAATCCTGCTAAGGCCATCTGGCTCTCACTTTCTGAAGTGCCAAACCACAGTTTAGTGAGCATAGGGCGGGGAACCAAACTTTAAAAACAACCAGTTCCATCTGCTGAATCTCTGAAGCTTTTGCTGAACTTTAAATTAGAGACAAACGGACACATCTGCTTGCAAGTTAGAGTAAAGATATTCTAAATAAGGCAGCTCATTAAGTGGTATTATACCCTTTTTCATTAAAATAATTAGTTTAATGGTTAAGGATGTTACGTTCTCTCTTTTACTACTCAGCAATCAAAATATTTATACATATTACGGTGGCATACCAAGAGCAATGAGATAGCTTAGGAGCAAATGATCCCATGTTCTCTATAAAAATCCCTTTATTGTTTCTACGGTTTCATTTTAATTTCAACACACATAACTGCTGAAGGAAAGCTAAACTTTTCAATAAACAAAGTTTTAAATGCATGTCTTAAAAATTGCTTAGTTTACGGATTTGATCTAAGCTATTGCTCAAGCTAATCCTTTATTCCCTTTAATGCAACAAGCTTTGAACAAAGTGGTCTTCTGAGAGAAATACTTAGTTTTGTGAAAACTTTGATAAATAGAAGTTCCTTCCATAATGGATGCCCTAGGATAGTAGAGTCCAGCTAACTTCTACAAATCACTGTAGAAGTGTCCAGCAAAGAGATAAACCCTCCTTAAAAATATGAATGTTATGCAGGAAAAAAAGAGACAGGGAGAGAAGAGGTGAGTTAAAACACTTGACGAAAGCCAGGCTGCCTTCCAGAAGCTTCCACCGGTACAGCTCATAAACTGAACTCAGGTTCACTAAACTCGCAAAGACATTACATCATAAAACCCCTAAACCTAAATATACAATTTTAGTAAGAATTCAAGATGGTTTTTATATATTTTCTTTTTTTCCGTGCACAGATTTCCCATCAACACTGCATAAGTGAACATTCAGGGAGCCTGGATCGGGAAGCAACAGTTACATAATACTGAAAAGTCTGAGGTATTCGGACGCTGCACAGTTTAGAACTGTTTTATAAATGAATATGACTTAAAAGCTCACCACATGGGAAAAAAGTGTGACTCAGTTTCACTCACTTAGACCAACAGGGTATTTGCTTTCTTTTTACATTTCTTCCGTTTTCTTCAAAATTTGATTTCATGCTTTTTCTACCTGGCAAAGCTGGTTTCCTAAATATTGTGAGAGGATCTGTTAAAGCTCAATTTAGTTTCTTTCCAGGCTACATCCATCATGTTTGGAAAAATTGAGTGCATACAGATCACAACAAGACCTTTACTGAAAGTTTTTTTTTCTTACTGTAAGTGTAAAGGTTAAGAAACCTTAACAAAGTGTTGTTGATTATTTTTGTCTAGTACTCCGGGCTTAACCAAAGAGATGGAAAATATTAGGGGAAAACAACATAATGAATTAAACAAGGTTGTTTAGAAAGAACGAAAACAGTAAAGAACTGTTTGTGCACATGTTGATGTCATTTGCTTTTGGTTCCTTAATTAGACGTTTTTCTTGTAGAAAAAGAAAACTCTTGAGGCCATACCTCAGGCTTAGAGTTGAATCAAGGTAAACGATAAATGATAGGACAAGAAGTGCTTTGGAAGGCAATGTTTAGCAGGACTTGGAGGGTTTGGATGTAGAAATGTCCATGTTTATATCATCATTTTCAGAGCACTAGATTTTCTGTTACACCTTATTTTAATTGTAAAAAATGAATCACTCGGCAAATCACTGGGAAGAAATTATAGATTCACCTTTTTTTCTCAAACTAGACAGAAATAAAGCATGACTCTATTGGATTTAACGGTTAGAAGTGGTTTCACTTCCCCAGCAAACTTCGACTTAAATATCCTGCAAAACACTAAACTACACCATCACAATTATTCAAGTGCTGAGTTAAATGACCATTGAGGATTTTAATTTACTGGTTTATTTCTACAAAGGGTATTCAGAAATAGCTTTATTTTCATCTATTCTTATTCAAGGCGTAACTAATCTGTCAGTTTTATATATTTCAGCACAGCCCTTTATCACTAAGTTAACTCACTATAAAGCTTGGTTGGATGGATGGATGGATGGATGGATGGATGGATGGATGGATGGAAAGACATTTAACTGTATTCCCAGGTAGCCATTCGTTTCTCCCGCTTCTCTTTCCCACCTTATAATAATTGAGTCTTCACACTTTGCCCAATAAAAGCCTTTTCAGTTATTTCTATACTCACCAGAGTGATTTTTCCAGAGATTTTTTGCATATGTAGGCTGGTCCAGCAAAGTTAACTGGTATAAGGCCAGTGAATTATGTGAATTCATGTTGGTTGGAAATTTTGTTGTAACTGAAATGAACGTTTGAGCTAATTTTACTGAAGGCCATGTAATCAAGGTAAATTAAAAATAAAATATTTAGAAAAATGTTTAATTTAGCTATAACTCTCTATAGTGCTGTCTCTATGAAGAATCCCATTAATATCTTAATCACTGAGGCATTTCAATATCACAATGACACCAAATAAAATTGTATTAGTAAATATGTAAAATGTTCTGCAAAAAAAAAAAGGTTTAATAAGGAATGTGCCATATTTATGGTCTTTTATTGCAAGGCCTATTGCAAGATCCCTGTCACTAGGAGCTAAACCTGAAATCCATAAAAGTTGGAAATAAAGTGTCAGGAAATAACTGATTTTAGGAGGTAAAAATCCACATTAGGTCAAATTCCATCATCCCAGATGTGACTACATTTTGTATTTAAATTGTATTTCTTATTAGCGGTTTAGTTATTTCATACATTGAAAGTGAGGGGGTCTGTTAGGTGTTACTCAGTAGTAAAAGCCCTCCCACTGGAGCTGCGTGTTCGGGTATAAAACCAGTGCGCATCCCTGCTCTCTGTCTGGTGCAGAAGCTGCAGAACGGCAGTCAGAACCACCTGGAGCAGCAGCCGCACAGAGCTGTTATCAGATCTCTCCAAGCTTTAACTCTACCTTCCTTTCTTGTTTTATTTGTTTTCTTGCATTTAAGTTCTTTCAAATTGAATTAAGGTTTAGAATCCGTGTCCATCCCCAAAATGACTGGTGGCCCACTGACAGGGTTGCTGGTTGCTTTGTGCGTCAGCAGCGCAGTCCACTGCGCCCCGAAGAAGGAGAAAAGACAAACGGGTCAGTATCAGGTGTATCCCGACTTGCGTGACGCAGCTGCTCTTACTCCAGGTAAGCAAACGGTTTTTTTCTTTCTTACTTTTTCCCCCATAAGTTTTGCATCTCAAGTCTATGAAGCTTTAAAATAAAACTGGAATTGTTATGGGAAATATGTTCCTATGATAACAAAATAAGCCTTTGTTTCGGGAAATAAACTTTTTCTTTAAGTGATAATTATCTTTCTCTGGGCTTTATTACTTTTTAGCCCGTTGTGAGGACAATGGTCAATCCTACAGGCTAAACCAACAGTGGGAGAAACCCTACCTTGGAAGTATATTGGTTTGCACCTGCAAAGAAGCAGCAGGCGTTGAGTGTAAAACAAAGCCAGATGGTCAGTCATAATCCTTAGTGCATGTCTGTAAGCCAGCATTAACATTTTCATTTTTTGAAAACAATGATAAGAAAAGAGACCATGATAAACAGTTTAAGATTTTAGATCTAAGCAGTCTATTCTGCATGTGAATGAGGTCTCACAATGACTCTTGACCTTTATTCTGTTTAACTCTTTTCATCTTAGCACAAGAGACCTGTTATGATAAGGACAATGCCCGGACATACCGAGTTGGAGACAGCTACGAGAGACCAAAGGACGGGTTGATGTGGGACTGCACCTGCATTGGCTCTGGCAAAATCAGCTGCACTATTGCATGTAGGTTATGCTTGCATTGATGTGCTTCCATCTTACATGTCAATGCCAAAAATGTTTAATTAATCTGGCAAAAATTACTAAAAGGTTTGTTAATCGATGCATGTCTCTTGCTTATTGTTGTTGCTTAAGACTGTGTTACATCTCAAACTGATATGTATTCAAATTCAAATGTATTATTTCAATGATACAATATTTGTTCTGATGTTTAAATCCAGTGATCTGATTAATTTTGTTATTGACAGATCGTTGCCATGATAGTGGGAGGTCTTATAGAATTGGAGAAACTTGGCAGAAGCCTCATGAGAATGGCGAATATATGCTAGAGTGTGTTTGCCTTGGCAACAACAAGGGAGAATGGACGTGCAAACCTGTTGGTGAGTGTTGCTCCTGGAAAGATGAAATGTTTTACACGTTTTGATCCGCATCTGTGTTTAACCACTGCTTTGCTTTTTAACTTGGCAGCTGAAAGATGCTACGATGGCTATGCTTCTTCATCTTTCCTGGTCGGAGAGACCTGGGAGAGGCCATACCAAGGCTGGATGATGCTGGACTGCACCTGCTTAGGAGAAGGAAATGGACGTATCAGCTGTACCTCAAGAAGTAAGTATAAATATCCACAAACAAAGACACGGCTAGATTTTCGGTGGCTGCTCATTTCACTTATTTCACAACTAGATCGTTGCAACGACCCTAAGACCAAGAGGTCCTATCGCATTGGAGACACCTGGACAAAGACTGACAGCAGAGGAAACCCCATGCAGTGCATGTGTTTAGGAAACGGGAGGGGAGAATCAAGTTGCCAAGCACAAAGTGTAGGCCGAGGTGAGTTCTGTCTAAATAGTCTCCTAAACACAAAAAGCTTCAATCCCTGATATTTATTCTTTTTTCGGACTGTTAACAGGCAGTGGTGATGTTGTTACCCAGACTCTCCTGCATCATCATGTACCAACCTCTGTGGGAAATTGCCGCACAAACTCTGGTCACTCATACCTGGATGGACATCGCTGGATCACGACCCAGGGAAGCAAACAGATGTTGTGTACATGTCTGGGCAATGGAGTCAGCTGTCAGGAGTGGGGTGAGTGCAGAAAAAATCTGTCAAGTACATTTATTATCGTAAAATAGAAAATGGAATTTCAGAAACGACATTTTTAAGCAAATTCAAGTTTGATATTGGTCATTTTACATCTGTGTCTTAACAAATCCTTTCTACTCATCGTGTAGAGGTGAAGAAACAGGCATATGGCGGTAATTCTAATGGACAGCCATGTGTCTTCCCGTTTGTCTTCATGGGAAAGACGTACTACTCTTGCACGTCAGATGGACGCTCTGATGGGCAGCTGTGGTGTTCCACAACATCAGATTATGAGAGAGATGGGCAGTATTCATTCTGTACAGAACAAATTGGTGAGACAAAAAAAAAAAGTTGTTAACTCAACTATAACTTTATCATTGTGTTAATTTTTATCTGTTATTGGTAATCAAATCAGAGCTAAGACATAACCAAATTGATTGTGTCAAAATTGCAGCTATTGTAGTCACACAAGGTGGGAACTCCAATGGTGCCCTCTGCCACTTTCCGTACCTGTACAGTGGTCGAAACTACACAGACTGCACCACAGATGGTCGCCGAGATGGAATGAGGTGGTGCGGTACCACCTACAACTATGATGCGGACCAGCGTTTTGGATTTTGCCCCATGGCTGGTTAGTGCGTAGAGTTTACTGCACCTCAGATGTGATTACAGTAAAGTAGATAGGCTTAACGGGAAAAAATCTAAGAGATTATTCTCTTGTTCTATGAATATATATTAAATTGTTTCAGAAAATATTTGCCCTTTAAGGAAGTGTTAGAAAACAGCGATTTCAGCACCATTTACAGATAAAGACTCCATCAGAGATAATCCAAGAATTGGTTCCACAACTCTAACTTGGCTCTTAACTGAAATCAGGAATCAGTTTGAAGTGTAATTGCAAGGGGGAAAACACTGATGATTTTTTTTTATAATACTCCTGTCTTTGCCTAATTAGCCCATGAGGAGGTATGCACCACCAATGATGGAGTGATGCACCGTGTTGGAGACAAGTGGGACAAACGCCATGATACCCTGGGTCACATGTTGGAATGCACTTGCCTCGGAAATGGCCGCGGGGAGTGGAACTGCATTCCCCATTCACAGCTGCGAGGTGAGACAAATGGCACCATTTAGACTTAAAAACAAAGATGCTTCAAAGTCATCTTCAGAAGATAATATATTCCAGTTTCCAGTTTAGTGTGTGAACAGGTGTATTGCTTCTGTTTCTGATTTTTAGATAACTGCATTGTTGATGGCTTGACCTATGAGGTCAACCAGCAGTTCTCTAAGCGCCATGACGAGGGGCACATGATGAATTGCACCTGCTTTGGACAGGGACGTGGTTACTGGAAGTGCGATGCTATAGGTTAGTTTGTGGCTCACTACCTTTCCAACATTCAACTTTTTCTGTTCTACTGGCTTGACTTTGTCACAACTTGTTTTTCTCTAGATCAGTGTAAGGATCCACAAAGCAACACCATCTATCAGATCGGAGAGCAGTGGGACAAATTAATCAGTGGCTACCACTACAGATGCACTTGCTATGGTAATGGAAGAAGAGAAATGGGTTGTGAACCTCTGCAGTCCTACCCAGGTAAGAGAATAACCATCAGATAGCCTCCAGCCCTTAATTTTATTAATTTTTGTCATAAAACATAGGGATATGTAATGTATTTTGGAACATAGCTGGATTGTTTTTTGGTAGCTTTATTGTCTAAAGAAAGTCCAATAAATAAATAAAAAAGAAAAGTCTTGGGATATCCAGTTATGCATTGTGCATGAATCCCAATTCATACAACAAATATTAGCACACAGCTAAATATATTATTTGAAAGGACAATTAATGCATAGAAAATGATAATGGGTTTTACTTTATTTTTGTCTGGTTGAATACTGACAGAAATTTCTATCCGTAACTTTGATACATTTTTCCTGCATAAAACAATAAACAGTGCAGCCTGTTTTTGAAATTTGTAAATTAACCACTAGATGTCATATATGTAAATCCTTAGGTTGAATGTGGGTTTCCTATGTTGAGAACTTGCCAAAATGTACAAATGTAACCTAAGGCCTTAAAGCTGTATTCGTTATTATTATTATTATATTATTCCCCAACAGTTTTAAGAAAAAGATTTCTTAGGAATTCTAGTCTTGCAGAATTCTTGATGTCATGCTGTTCCACAAAACAGCATGACATCATGATTTACGACACAATCACATCTTCCACATTATGCAACTGGCCCCATTAATTATAAAACCGAGTGCATAAATGCTGGGTCTAAAGTTTTCATTTTGTTTTAGATATTGTTGAACAAAAAGTTTTACTCTTTCACATTACCTCCCCCTTAAAATTATAGTTTAGGATTTTTCCTCTTCCACCTGTTGCTAAGTAATGTTTGCTATCCTACTGATGGAAAGTGATTTTTTTTTAACTGGGCAAGCTGGGAAAAATTGGCGCCTGTCACTTCCTGAGCCTGTTTACGCAGAAGTTGCCTAATTTGGTACCTTGAACTGAGTTGAGGAGCAAATGTTGACCTTAATAGAGGACAATTTGTGCTGAGTGGACAAACTTTGGGCTGGTGCAATGGGTTTGAAAGAAAACGGGAGCCAAAGAAATGTGATGAATATAGCACAAAGGTGTCATGTCAGAATGTTAGATGTCAGTAGGTGTTGAGCCGGTTTAGCATAGTCTGGTGGTTTGATTCTGTTTCAAAATGCTGAATCGTTTAGTTATAACTCATCAAAAAGTCCTCTGCTCTCCACTTACCCTCCCTGCAGGTCACACTGTCATGTTATTCTCAAGATTTCTTCTTATGCTAAACCACATTTTTATTTTGGGCTTTCTATCATGTTTCTTCAACCATGTGCTACCCTTTCTCCTCAGGTGGTTCTAGACCCGTCCAGGTCCGTATAACAGAAGCAGGGAACCATCCAGACTCCCACCCCATTCAGTGGAATGTTCCATCGTCTACGCACATTGCTGGATACATCCTAAAATGGAGACTTGTAAGTGTCAAGGAGGTTTTCCCAGTAATTATATTATTTTACTTTCTTTGTTGGCTAACGGTTGTAAATGGGATGGGAACTCTGTGTTGGTTTAGTCCAAGGTTTGAGCAAGAGAGTCCATGAACTCTCAGTGACAGACCGAATACATTGTTCCAGCATGCATCTTTTCCCTTTGCATGTGTGTTTGTCCTGTGAATCTGAAATCAACATAATGCGAGTCCCCTTTTGAGGATTTATTTAATGTTTCATATAGTTTGAAGGGCTCACATAGTGATAGAAAGCTTAATTTAAAGAGTTTATCCTTACTTCTCTGCTCATTGAAAGACTTTCAACAGTCCGAACCTGAATATCCCCTATCATAAACAGACATAAAAGCCTCAAACTCTTTGTCTCTTTACTCCATCTTGAAGAAAAACAGTCAAAAACCTTGGAACGAGGTCAACATTCCCGGCCACCTCACCTCCTACACCATCAGTGGGCTGCGTCCAGGTGTGACCTACGAGGGTCAACTCATCAGCATTTTGCACTTTGGACAGCAAGAGGTCACACGCTTTGATTTCACAACTGCCTCTGACTCCTGTAAGTAACATGGGGTTCAATATTCTTTAAATGCCAAACAAAGATCAAGAGCAATCAGTCAAATAATGTTTTTTCTTTTTACTCATCTTAACTCAAACAGTGCAGACATGGGAAGGAGAGACCACCCAGCCTCCGCCGGTGGTGGACATGTCTGAGTCAATAACAGAGATCACCTCCAACAGCTTTGTGGTATCATGGACCTCGGCTTCTTCTACCATCTCTGGCTTCAAGTTAGAGTATGAGCTCATTGAGGACGGGGCTAAACCAAAGTACCTTGGTGAGACTGTTTGAAGTTTGACTACTTCATAATGAGAGATTATGGTATAGAAGATTGAAAATATTTTTGTTTGCTGTGTTCATAAAGATGCATCAAGTAAACATTACAATTAATGTGGAGAAATCACTGCTGGTGAAAGTTTTTCTGATGTGAAATAAAATAACATTGCAGTAAATTCTACACATTCTGTATCGTTACTAATAAGGTGTTTAGTTGAACTTAGCTTTTTCTTCTTCAGATATTCCCCGCACCACCACGTCTGTCACCCTCACCGATCTTGAGCCTGGTCGTAGATATAACGTCAGTGTGTATGAGGTGCCTGAAGGAAACAGAGAGCCAAACCTCATCCTGACCACCTCACAGACCACTGGTTGGAAACAAATCTCCTGCTCTTTGAATAAATATAAACTTTAAATGAGAAAAAAAGTTGCATAATTGAGGTAATTTTCTTTTCTTTCTTCGGTCAGCTCCTGATGCCCCCACTCTGCATCCTGTGAATGACGTCACAGAAACTTCCATCCGCATCAGCTGGAGCAGACCCCAGGCTCCTATTACTGGTAAGAACCAACATTCTGTCAGGGTACATTTGCTTTTACTTAAACATCTGGAACATGGATCTCAGTCAAGACACCTCAATGTGTGTGCTTACAGGTTACCGTTTAGTTTACATTCCATCAGAGGAAGGCAGCAGCACCGAGCTCATCCTCCCTGACTCAGAGACTTCAGTAACGCTGGAGGACCTCAGCCCTGGTGTCCTCTACAACATCAGCATCTATGCTGTGGAGGATAACCTGGAGAGTGAGCCTGTTTTTGTCCGGGTTAACACTGCCGGATCTCCAAGACGAGGTAACCAAAAATATGTGGATGCCTTGCAATAAGTTGCAAGATAACAAACTTGAGCTTTGATTAATTTTTGATTTTAAGTCATAGATTAACAGATTAGATTTATACAAACAATTCTTATAAGGTTATTAAGACAGCCTATTATAGGATCATTTATACGATATAACATCTAGGATAAGCTACATATTTTTCTTAAATACGTAACCTGACCAGCATGTAATTTATGGGGGAGCTGCGAAACATTCTGAGATAAAGTCTAAACACTTGAAGGAAAAAATGCTTGTGGAGCCAAGACCCTAAAGCACAGACGCCTCATAAATCTAAAGTGCATGGTTTATAGAAGATCACAATTTGTCTACTTTCTTTTGGCTGGGCTGGGGAAATCTAACAGTTAAAATATTTTAGAAAAATGAAAAGCAGATGTTTTAGGAAGTTAATATTACTTTATTTCCTCCTTCTACTTTGGTATTTACTTTGTATTTTCCATCTTATCCAAGCCAACATTTGCAAATATTCTACTTGAGTATTGCTAAAGCTTTTATTGGACATATCTTTGACGTTTGAAATTTTGAAAACAAGTTTTGCGTAGGTTTCATTTTCATTTTATAAACAGGTTTTTTTTTGTGTTGTTGTTGTTGTTTTTTGTTTTTTTTAACCAATCCCTGTTTTCCCTAAAACAAAAGGTGTACTCATAAAAAACAAAGGACAACTAATTTGGGTCCAAGATCACCAGCTGCCAACTCAGTCAATTACACCATTAATGGAGGATTCTTCCTTTATGCAACCTTTAATGCTCAAATCTTTTGCTCTTTACAGAGAAGGTCCAAGCTCCGACTGACCTACAGTTCAGTGAGGTTGCAGACACCAGGATCAGTCTCACTTGGGAAGGTCCGCCCACTGAGGTCACCGGTTACAGGGTGGTCTTCTCACCGATGGGCCAGGATGGCACTGAGCTGCAGCGCCTTCAGGTGCCGCTTTTCCCCAACGCATACATCGAAATCAACCACCTGCAGCCCGGCACATTGTATCGCTTCTACGTGTATGCCATCAGAGGTGATACTGAGAGCGAGCCTCTTGTGGGAGAAAAATCGACCAGTAGGTGGTGCTTAAAAAAAGGAATATTCTAAATTCAGACCTTAGGAAATCCTACAGATTATCAAATAACTATCGATCATCTCATGCTGTTTATATAATCTATCCTCTTGTAGAACCTGATGCTCCCACAGATTTACGTTTCACCGACATTGGACACGATAGCGCATTGGTCATCTGGGAGGCTCCCCGTGCCGTCGTTACTGGCTTTCGCCTCCTGCTGAGCATCGATGGTTCCAGCCCTGTTGAGAAGAGGATCCCAGGAAGTGTCACGCAGTACCTTTTGAAGAATCTGCGCCCGGACACACAATACACAGCAGAGCTGTTCTCTGAGCAGAACGCTGTGCTCAGCGAGGGCATCACTAAATATTTCACTACAGGTCAGCAGAAATGCATTTATTTGCTAGAATGTGTTTTTTTTTATTTGCAGAGGTTTTAAATCCAACCTTGCTTTTTGTTTCAGCTCCTAGAATGGGAAATGCTCCTCCTTTTAGCACAGAGGTCACAGACACCTCCATCATTATCGCCTGGATACCTGTCCGCAGATTCAGCTACAAGGTAGTTTATCACCATTTTGCCCAGATAACCAAAGAAGTGTAATCTGTTTTAAAATTATCTACTGATCACAGTGCATTCTTTTCTTCTTTGCTTCCTTTAGCTTTCTGTTCTCCCGAGTGAGGAAGGCGAGTCTCCTAGAGAGGAGACCTCTGACTCTGGGCGTATTGACATCAGCGGTCTGATCCCAGGAAATCAGTACACCTACAGTGTTCAGCCCATTTTCAATGGACGTAACCGTGGAAACCCCATCACCCGCAACGTTGTCACTAGTGGGTCTAGGTTACATTTGTTTGGAGGGAAATAATTCAAATCAGGACTCCTTAAGATTAATCTCTGTCTAAGTGTTTATAACCAGAGTGATGTAATGCTTATATGAGCAAGCGGAGCACTATATAAACAATTTGGCAGGAGTTTTTACAAGACCTAACAGCTGCATAAAATTAACGTCATCGTCTTCTTTTCTCTTGTGCAGCTTTGTCTCCTCCAACCGATCTCAGAGTAGTGTCCAACCCAGACACAGGAGGTTTAACCGTCTACTGGGTAGCCTCCAGGAGACAAGGTAAATATTGACTGTGCACCTCACCCACTGCCAACCTGGGGGCTAAATCTAAAGCTAAGTCTAGACCTTGGTTTAGGTCTACCTTCAAACTTTTAAAACCCATCTGTTACTCCTGTACCCTCTGCAGGGATCTCCGGCTACAGAGTGACAAGCACGCCCACCAGTGGACAAAGAGGGAACTTTTTAGAAGAGGTTGTCAGTCCAGACAAGAATACCTGCCTTCTAGAAAACCTCAATATGGGTGTGGAGTACAACGTCAGTGTGTTCACAGTCAAGGGAGAAGTGGAGAGCGTACCGGCGTCCACCATTGTTACCCCAGGTAGGTGCCAGATGGAGGTGTCTGGCTAGTTGTTAGCTGGTCGAGATCTGGTTTTTAAAGGAACCAAAGCTTAATTGGTTTATCTTTGTGCAAAGGTTTCAAATCAACTCTTTAAAAAGTATTTGAAAGCACTACAGGTTAAGAACAAAACAAAGCTGGTGGAAAGGATTTAAAGAAGAACATCTGAGGAAAATAATCTTACACTTAAACCGAGGTTTAAGATTGGATTTGAGTCAATGACTCGATGCAATCGACTGGTTTTCCTTAGATAGAAAACTTTGAATCAATTTGACTCTATGATCTGGTTGAATTGTAATGTGCCTTGAGATGACGTGTTGTGAACTGGCGCCATATAAATAGATTGAATTGAATTGAGGTTGGAGGGAGAAGAAAATTCAGCTTCCCAGTTAACAATTATTTAAAAGCTATATGTTCTGTTCAAGGAGGCGTATTGAGTCCTTTTTACGGTTTTTTTTTTTAACCCGTCTGTGGTGGATTGTGGAGCCCTAAGTTCTTTATGAGTTTTAGACTATATTTAGGTTTTCCAAAGTATTTGTTGGTATCTAGTTGCTTTTAAATCATTTTCTATTCAGTTACCTTGCATGTACACCAACCTTTATCCAGAAGTGTTAAGTAGGTAAACACAAAGTAATTTTTTTTTGTTAATCTATGAAAAACAAGACAAATTAAAAGTGCAAATGCAAAATTAATCAAAAATTGTTATCTTGTGCCATGTTATATGTGCCATGTGTATATTGATTGGTTTCTGTTCCATACAGAGAATTAGTTGATCAAAACATGCAGGTTAATTTATCCTGATATGGATTTCCTAAAGAGGGCTTTAATCTACATGCGACAAAGGCAATAAAAAACAGTTATGTGACATGCTTTAATCATAATTTACCATATGACATTAGATGTATAGCATTGAAGCACATATTTCTGATGAAACCCTTAGTGAGTGTAACTCCTATACCAATCTGTTACTAACATGATCACACATTTAGCTGTAAAGTGCAAGAAGATAACAGTAATTGGCTTAAACCTACTGGCATGGCCGATAACTTTATTAATTGCCTGCAATTCTTTTTTTTAGTCCTTTTATTTTTATTTTGTAATGTCTTCTGGCATGGCTTATGTTTCACCATACTTCTTGGAATGCTTTAATTGGAATGACAATTTGCTAGTTATTTTTTCCTTTCTTTCTAATTCTGCCTGTGTAAATTGGTGCAACCCCTTTTCAGAAAACCCCACCCCAACTCATATTGACTTTGTGGACATTACTGACACCACCATTGGCCTCCGCTGGATCCCTCTAAACATTACCAACATCGTAGCTTACCGAATAATGGTAGTAGCCTCAGGCGAGAGCTTGCCCATCTTTGAAGATATGGTGGAGGCATCTGCAGGTTATTACACGATTCAAGGTTTGGAGCCCGGCGTGGACTATGACATCAGTATTATCGCTGTTACAAAGAGGGGCGAGAGCAAGCCGACCACATACACAAAGCAAACACAAGCTGGTGATTTTATTTTTTCCACTCAATCAGAGAGGAGGGCTGGGGTGTTGATTTATCATACTTATCATTTTTTTTATTTGTGTGTAAATTTCTTGGCATATATACTGATAACTAGCTAAAACATTTTTTACTTTCAATCTATGATTATTTCAGCTGTGCCAGCTCCAACAAACTTACAGTTTGGAAGTGCGGGTCCCGACTACATCCGTGTCACATGGACCATCCCCAACATCGCCACTCCCAGTGAAATATCTCGCTTCGTAATTCGCTACCACCCCGTGGACACTGACAATGATATCAAGGAAGTTAATGTTGGTGGTGCCACCAATACCTACTTGTTGCAAAGTAAGCGAGACGTTAAAACATCTGTTAGCGAGGCCAAATTACACATGTATCCCTTTTCAGCATAAAGCAACTCTGATATTGCATCTTTTCTATATAGACCTGCAGCCCAACACAGAGTATCGTGTCATTGTTGTCTGCGTCTACGGTGAACGGGAAAGTGAACCTGCTACAGGGACTCAGAAAACAAGTGAGTAGCATGCTGATCTTATCAGTAAAGGTTGGAGAACGAGGTCAAAGGTCAAGCTTAAACTCTTCCCTGTGTTTTTTTTGTAGATTAGCACTTGTAGTGCTGTCAGTGGTATTAGTGGTCACAATCATTAGTTCTCCAGTGTTTCAGAAAATGTATGTTTACCTTTACTACTTAAACGTTGCCTTTAGCTGAAGGATTATATAGATATTGTGGTGGGATTTTATTTCCCCCTTTACACAAAACCTTTCAAATATTGTCTTTTCTCCTTTGTTGTTCACATTTTGTTCATAGTTTAAAGCTAAGTCCAAAGGAAAACTTTGAAAGAGCCTCAGAGGTTTTAAACCCAATGCAGAAGATTATAAATTAATTTGTTGTATTAAAAATACTTTATAAATAGATTAGAATTGTCAAGAAACAACAAACAACAAACAACAGGATTAAATTGGTAACTCAGTTTATAGTACTCTTGCCTTATAACAAAAAATTCCTGAGTTGCTTCTAACAATAGGACCCAGTATTTGAGGCGGACAGACAGGTCGATTTTTCAAAATGTTTATTAGAAACAGAACTTTGATAAAAAGCGTGGGCTTCTAAGGCAGGAACCTCTGGCCTTAAAGTTTGGTCCGAGCCCAAAGGATGAGGTTGGTTTTATCCAGTCAGCTGCCAACAGACGCTGATGTCTTTGAGGTCGGAAGACAGACAGATGATCACAACCAAGCAGATGAAGGAAGGCAGTATAATTCAGAGGGCAAAGCCAAAGCAGATGTCGAGGATGCGCTTAGGAGTCACTGCCAGGAGATCAGAGGTCTGAAGAGGTCCCGAATGGAAATCTAGCACAGAGTCAGGAAACAGTTCCAGGTTTGGTTAACAGACAGGTAGAAATCTGGCAGGAGTCTGATAACAGCTCAGGCAAACAGATCAGGATGGGATAAGGCAGGCTCAGAGATCCAGAGGCAGAACAGGTCAGGATCAGGCAGTCATTAACACTTAAGAACTCTCACCACTGCCTCGAATAATATGGCACTGATGACTGGTCTTAAGGCTGGTTAAACAGAGGCTGAAGCAAGTGGATAAAATGAGTGATAATGAGAACTGGTTGGAGATAAGCCGGTGAATGAAATTAATAATCAGACCAAACATCAGCGCCAAGATCATGACACTGGGTTCAATTTTTTCATGCATGTGTTGAATTGGTGACTCTAAATTGACTAAATTAAGCTGTGAGGTGTATGGCTGTACCTCTCTGTCACTGCATGAAAAGTGAGATTTTCGTCGCCGTAAACCCCCGTAAACTCCCGCAGATCTGCCTGATTTTCGTCAGTTTCCGACAATTTGCAACCCGTGCTTGTCTGCGTTTGTCGTGCCACAAATCTCTGACATATGTGGAGAGCGATCAGCTGTACTAATGGCCCTAATTAGCATATGAATGCAGCAAACCCGCGCGGCTGGCCAGGTCTGGCTTGAATAACCTTCTCAGTATTGGCTGAAACCACTATTCTCAAACAAATGAAATCGCTCGTGATTGGCAGCAAAACCACACATGGCCACGCCAGGCTTTAATTTTCTTACTGAGTATTGGACGGAACCACTTCTTTTTAAACAAGTAAAGTCGCTCGTGATTGGTTGGCATATATATATATTTACATATAAATTTACATATATATATTTATTCATATATATATATATATATATATATATATATATATATATATATATATATATATATACACTATATTGCCAAAAGTATTTGCTCACCTGCCTTGACTCACATATGAGCTTAAGTGACATCCCGTTCCTAATCCATAGGGTTCAATATGACGTCGGTCCACCCTTTGCAGCTAGAACAGCTTCAACTCTTCTGGGAAGGCTGTCCACAAGGTTTAGGAGTGTGTTTATGGGAATTTTTGACCATTCTTCCAGAAGCGCATTTGTGAGGTCGCACACTGATGTTGGACGAGAAGGCCTGGCTCTCAGTCTCCGCTCTAATTCATCCCAAAGGTGTTCTATCGGGTTGAGGTCAGGACTCTGTGCAGGCCAGTCAAGTTCATCCACACCAGACTCTGTCATCCATGTCTTTATGGACCTTGCTTTGTGCACTGGTGCACAGTCATGTTGGAAGAGGAAGGGGCCAGCTCCAAACTGTTCCCACAAAGTTGGGAGCATGGAATTGTCCAAAATGTCTTGGTATGCTGAAGCATTCAGAGTTCCTTTCACTGGAACTAAGGGGCCAAGCCCAGCTCCTGAAAAACAACCCCACACCATAATCCCCCCTCCACCAAACTTTACACTTGGCACAATGCAGTCAGACAAGTACCGTTCTCCTGGCAACCGCCAAACCCAGACCCGTCCATCAGATTGCCAGATGGAGAAGCGCGATTCGTCACTCCAGAGAACGCGTCTCCACTGCTCTAGAGTCCAGTGGCGGCGTGCTTTACACCACCGCATCCGACGCTTTGCATTGCACTTGGTGATGTATGGCTTGGATGCAGCTGCTCGCCCATGGAAACCCATTCCATGAAGCTCTCTGCGCACTGTTCTTGAGCTACATGAAGTTTGGAGGTCTGTAGTGATTGACTCTGCAGAAAGTTGGCGACCTCTTCGCACTATGCGCGTCAGCATCCGCTGACCCCGCTCCGTCAGTTTACGTGGCCTACCACTTCGTGGCTGAGTTGCTGTCGTTCCCAAACACTTCCATTTTCTTATAATACAGCTGACAGTTGACTGTGGAATATTTAGGAGCGAGGAAATTTCACGACTGGATTTGTTGCACAGGTGGCATCCTATCACAGTTCCACGCTGGAATTCACTGAGCTCCTGAGAGCGACCCATTCTTTCACAAATGTTTGTAAAAACAGTCTGCATGCCTAGGTGCTTGAATTTATACACCTGTGGCCATGGAAGTGATTGGAACACCTGATTCCAATAATTTGGATGGGTGAGCAAATACTTTTGGCAATATAGTGTATATATATATATATATATATATATATATATATATATATATATATATATATATATATATATATATATATATATATATATATATATATATTTATTCATATATTTATTCATTCATATGGTGTGTATTTATGTTATCCTACACTACTACACAATTATTATGCTACCATCAAGGACATGAATGAATTTATACAGGAAATGAACATTTGCCAGGAAGCTGTTTATGCAAAGAAAAAGCTTTATTAAAACACACACAACTATATACAACGCGTATCCAAACACTTGCGTTTCTAAAAATTAAAAGTCCGTGAACGGTCCGTTTGCTTCCTCGGGGTTGGAGGTAACTGGCAGCATTCCCTCCGAGGCAGGTCCGATGTGCAGACGCCTACTGTGCGTGGCTCTGTACTTCGTCATCGCTTCTAACGGGGACTGCAGCTTAACACAGAGTTCAGTGAGATCCGGCCTACGAAATGGCGGTGACCGTACAATCCATCCAGAGTTCCACTTCCTCATCTGCTAGCACATTCTGCCTCGCTTTCAGCAGCTGAAAAAAAAAACAATGAATCAGCGCACTGCGTATGGACACAACACATCTATTAATGCACCTGAATAATAGTCACCAAATAAAGTCTTACCCTCTTTCTTCTGGCCCGACTCCGAGCAGATTGCCTCCGCACGCAGCGTGTTGGCTTGCTGCGTATATCTGAAGCTCCTGCGTACCGTCTGAAAATACGTCTTACAGGCAGCTGGAAAACAATTAAATGAGAGTGGTATGAATAAAAAATCAAACGCAAGTCACAGTAACAAGGAAGGAGAAAACATTAAAACAAGTCACTTACACACAATGTCGTCTTTATCAACATCGTGCAAATCTGGACTTGCTGATATGGCTCCGAGCAAATAGGAGGTCACCGCCTCATTGTGAGGCGACAGTAGTCTGTGAAAACAAAATGATGCTATGCTATGATCGGTATCTATCCGTATCCATTGCCTTTTACCGCAGAATGAAAGCATATTCTTTAAATCTTACCCTTGCTCCGGTTCATAGCGCCTGCAATTAGTCTCCGAGTTGTGAAGACGGCGTACTGCTTCCTGTGAATCACAAAAAATACACTTTAATAAAGCTTGTTCTTGCAAGGCTACTGTTATCGAACATATATATACCGCTAGCATCTCTTCTTTGAGTTCGTCTTGTTCGATGCAGAGTCGCCATCGCGTCCAAGAGGAGTTTTACCCCGAAATCCAGACGCTCCAGACCGCCTGCACAAAGCAAAGCATACATCCTCCACTGTGGCTGCACACCGAGTTTCTTGGAGATCGTAGAGCACATGCGCGAGATGAACCAGGGTTTCCGCGGATCAATAAAAATAATTAAAAAATCATTCATTTTTTTTAAATCAAGGCCTTAATTGGCACTAAAATTATTTAAATATGTTTATCGAAGTATTTATAATTCTTTAATAAAAAATGCTTATAAAAACAATTTCGTCAGATATATTATATCGCTCCAGGCGTAGAAAAAGCTAGAGGATATATATATACGTATATATGTGTGTGTGTGTGTTAACATACATACAGGAGTCATGGAACTGTGCTTAGGCTCCTTCATATTTCATGTACACTAATTACTTGTGTACATGGTTCTTGTTGATGGCATTAAAATCATTTCTAATAGCATTTAAATAGCATTAAATTAGAGTCACTCATTCCTGTATGAACCCTGTGAGCGCTTAATTTAATATGACATATTAAAAAAATCCCACCATCATCCAGCATATGTTCAGTTTCTGCCCAAATATATATTTATATTTTTGTAGATTTTTGTAACGGGGATAAGGATAATTCAAAACTGCTTTTTTTGAATGAACTTGTTCTCTTCTCCCAAACTCAGCATCTCTTTTCATTCCTGTAATAAGAAGTTTCTTTTGAATGGATTTGATTAAAGTTTAAGTCCCTCGGTATAAAATAAATATTTTGATGGAGATGAGAAATCTGCTTCCTCGTTGGTGAATAACCAATAGTTTGGATCCAATCATTTAAATAAACGGTGTTAGTTTTTTTTTTTTTTTTTTATATAAGAATTGTGCTATAATTTCTAGTCACCGATCTGTTGCTGCTATATTTTAATTTGACGAACCGGAATTTGTCGATGTTCTTTTTCCTGTTTGGTGCGATTGCAATTGCGGATCTTGACCTGGCCGGACCTTATGACCACAGTGTACCAATCTTCTGATGGCTACTTCCAACAGGATAATGCGCCATGTTATAAAGTGAATCATCTCAGACTCGTTTCTTGAAACTTTTCCACTTAAGTTATTGTGAATTGAGCATATTGACAGACATTTTATTTTTTATCTTAAATGCAATTTTTTTTTTTTATAATTACTGCTCTAAATGTATTGCTCTGTCAGCTAAAGATCTGTTTTGGTCTCTATACTTTAATTAAATAAATCAATTGAAGCTAAAATGTAAGAGGCTATACTGAGCCTGATCTCTTTGTATCAGAGATTTTCTTACCTTTTAGAAAAATGTCACTTGGAGTAAAACCCCCCCTGCAACCCTGGTTTGCATTTGTATAGCTCACAGCATGTTCATTTACATGTTAAAGCCTCCCCTAGAATTCCATGGGGGGGAATCATGGGGGGAACACTGCCTAAGAAAGTCCACATCAATTTCTGACAATTTACGGGAGTTTTCGGCGAAGCCTGCAAATTGTCGTAAACTGCCGCTAACCTGAAGTTCCACGACAATCTACAGTGCCGCATATTGACGAAAATCCCACTTTTCATGCAGTGTGTGTTGTGTTGGATTGGTGACCTGTCTAGGGTATATCCTGCTGGAGATAGGCACTAACCCCCCATGACCCTGGCACACAAGCAGCAGAAGATTGATGGATAGAAGCATTAAATATTGCAACCAATAAGCAGTTGTGTTAACAAGTAGAGTAATCAGGCGATAAAACATTGTTAAATTCTAGTTTATCAGCACATGTTTTTATGATATACTTTTAATGTTTTCAATTTCCTTCCATATTTTTATGTTGGTTTTTAAATTGTGAGTTTTTCGCTTATTAAAAAATTTAAATAAAAAACTTTTTCCAGCTCTGGACTCGCCCACTGATCTGCAGTTTACCAACATTCGGACCAACTCCTTCACTGTTCACTGGCAGGCTCCAAAATCCCCTATCACTGGTTACAGAATCCACTACCAAAAGACAAGCGGTGGACGAGCCAAGGATGAGCGGCTCCCCCCAACCAGAAACCATTTCACTCTTACCGGACTCGAACCTGAGGCCGAGTACATGATTTATGTGTATGCTGTCAGCGACAATAAGGAGAGCCAGCCTCTGACTGGAACACAAGCTACCTGTGAGTTCCTGCACCAGTCTCTTATTTCATCTCTTTCCATTCAGTGAGAATCTGAGGCTTGACCCATTAAACCTGAATTATAATTGGTGTCATTCCTTCACTTGTTTTTGTGTTTTATGATTTTCAGTCTCAGATGCACCTACAGACCTTCAGGTAACGTCTTCTACACCTACCAGCATCACCATCCGCTGGGATGCCCCCTCTATTGAAGTAAAGAACTACAGGATCACCTACAGAGGCACAAGTGTGTAGTCAGGATGTCACAAATTTTTTTCCAGGCTTCACCAAAGTTAAATTTTTCACACATTTGATTTATCTGCTTCTAGGTGGTGAATATCCCCAAGAGATTACAATACCAGGCACCGAGACCCATGCCACCATCACTGGACTGCAGCCTGGCACCGAATACACCATCACAGTTTATGCTGTTACTGGACGAGGGGACAGCCCCGCCTCCAACAGACCGGTCTACATAACACACAAGACTGGTATAAAAAAATAATAACACTTTGTGAAGAGATTGCTATCTGGTTGTTGGAATCGATCTAAAAGTTGCCGTAATTTCCCGCCTTCTTTAGATACTGAGGCCCCCAACAATATGAGGATCACAGATGTAACCGACAATGGCATTAAAGTGCGCTGGTCTCCCGCTCAGGGCTCAGTCAGAGGCTACAGGGTCACTGTTGTCCCTAAGAATGGTTTTGGACCTTCCTACTCTGAAGTAGTGGCTCCCCGTAAGCTATGCTAGGCTTTTATGTTCAACATAAATATTTTAGGGTTTGTTTGTTTTCTTCCTTAAACACTGACATTCTTGTTTTCCATTGCAGAAACAACAGAAAAGACATTCAATGGTCTCAACCCCACTGTTGAGTATGTCGTTAGTGTTTATGCCTTGGGCAGTGATGGACAACCCTCTCCCCCTGTGGTGGAGAATACTAGGACTGGTTAGTTTCTCCAAATATATAACAAAACAGAGTTACTTGCTTCACTATGGTTACCAAACTGATCAGTTTCTCAAGTATTCCTGCCATGTCTGTAATCAGCCACATGTAAAAAGAAATTAATAAAAACAACCATAGAGTAATGAGTTAAAAGCATTTTAGGCCTCAAACGATTATCCAAAGGTTTTTGTTATTTTTAGCCTTTATTTGTTAAATTTTTGTGAACATTACAAGTATGATAACTTCTCTGCAATGATATCTATATGCAATAGATGCACCTATATGTGAGTGATGCAAACAAAAAGATAATTGAGAAAGAAACTTGATAGACTGGACCTTTTTAGACATTTGAAAATATTCCTTCAGAATAATTCTATCAATGATAATATTTATAATTTCTTTACACAAGTAGAGACCAAGAAAAAAAAAAGACTTGCTATTTTTATTCACTACAGTAATATAATAAAACAGCATTTCTCAGGGATGCAGTCTGTGTAAAGATAAATGAATGCATACTTTTTGAAAGACTAATTAGGAAAACTGTATTTTTAAAAGTATTTAAAACTGTTTTGGAAGACAGTGGAGCCGTGGTGTTCATGTCTTCATGAAAGCTTCCACTTCTTATAAAAAAAGAATAAACTGAGTTAAAGCCTAAAGCTTTGCTGTGAGATCTCCTTATGGTCTAGAAATGATGATGCACTTACAAGCCTTTTGACAGCTGAAAGGAATATGTCCTCCTTTATTGCAGCTGTGGACGGTCCCAAGGGTCTAACATTCTCTGACATCAGCGACAACACTATGCGCATCACATGGGAAAGCCCTGGTGGCACGGTAACATCTTACCGCGTCCTGTACTCCAGTTCAGAGGAGGGTGAGAGAGAACTGCGTCCCGCCCCCAGAGCTGACCAGGACAGCGCTGTACTGAGAGGTCTACGTCCAGGGACTGAGTACACCATAAAAGTCATCGCTTTTAATGGCCGGACTCCCAGCACACCGTTAATGGGAACCCAAGAGACAGGTAGAAATGTAGAAAACATAGGTTTATTGACAACTCGTTTAGATGTGGATTTAATGTTTGCTAATGGTGACTCTTTTAGCAATCCCCACACCAACCAACATGGAGGTCTCAGAGGTGGGCCCATCTTTCTTCACGGTTTCATGGCAGGCTCCAAATGCTGGCTTGACCGGCTATCGAGTGGTCATCCGTCCCAAGAACATTAACACCCCCCAAAAAGAAATGACCCTGAACCCAGATACCACCCGTGTAGTTGTACCAGGGCTTATGGTAAACGATCATCCCACAAATATATAAATACTTAAATAAATATATTTTATTCAGTAGGTAAATATCAGTATTATGTCTCCTTGATCTAGGTTGCAACGACCTATCAGATACAAGTCTATGCCTTGAAGAACGCTGTCACAAGCAGACCATTAGAAGGAGAAGCAACCACACTGGAAGGTCTGTGCCGTCTTAGCTACCAAACATGTAGACATAATGTGCTTGCCACATTATGTCTACTTCTTTGAAATAATTTTATTTCATTTTATCTGTGCCATTTGGGATTTTAAAAGAGCCATCAATTTCTTTTTTTTTTTTCTTGGCGTTGTCCCCTTATCCTTATGATCTTAGGCCTTGAATGGATCTACTGGTAGAGAAACTCCTGCCACCATCCATCCACATTTTCATCTTCTTACAAGATGTTAGTCTAGTGTGTTTTTAACCGAGCTCTCATACCCCAGATTCAAGCACAGCAAGTTTCTAACGGTTAGAAATGAGTGGTTCCTACCCACTGTAACTATATACACTGTTATTTGGGGAGGTGGTGGCATAGTGGTTAGCGCGTTTAGCTTGGAATCATGAGGTTCTGAGTTTGAACCCCACAGGTTGTCATGCAGGCTCCTTGAGCCAGACCCTTAACCCCAGACTGCTCCTCAGGCAAAGCACAATGGAAAAAAAAAAAAAAAAAAAAAAATATATATATATATATATATATATATATATATATATATATATATATATATATATATATATATATATATATATATATATATAAGGTTGTAAGCACCCTATTTGATCCCCACATTTGATCCCCACATCCTGAGCAATATCCGTAAATCCCAGAATGCACCCCTGGCGCCGCACAGTGGCAACGTACTGCTCCCCAAGGGGATGGGTTAAATGCATAGGTAAATTTCTCCCATGTGAGATCAATAAAGTTCAATTGATTTGATTTAATATTCCTGCTCAGGAAGAGAGACTAGTACGAAGTTCACATATCAGTCATGTTAGATAGATATTACTTTTTCTAGCTTTAAATGACTGGACTAAGCTCCACTGTTTTACAATGAGTTATTCGATCTGAATCTGATAATTTAATTGTATTAAATTAATTACATAATTTGTACTAAATCTAGATTTATCTGATTTGAATATTAAGCTATTTAAAAAAAAAAAGTATCTTGAAATGACTTGTTCTGAATGGGCTCTCTGCCCAACTCCACTACTTCCTTAACTTCAGCCGGCACCTTTGTTTCTTGTCTTTCATTACTGGAAGACTGATTAATCCAGATGCATCTGGCCATTATCATCATGGTTACTAAGGTCAGACACACCTGGATTAATCAACCTTTCCTGTAATGAAAGACAGGAAACAAAGGAGCCGGCTGACATTGAGGAAGTACAGTAGTGGAGTTGGGCATAGAGCCCATTAGAGCTCCAGGTCAAATATCTTGTATATTTGACTTCTTTGGCTCAAGAACATGTCCTCCACTGTCAGAAACCTATCAGCTCACTGATCTGCTTGTTCTTTGATTATTGCAGAGGTTAGTGCTCCTCGCCGTGTACGCATCTCTGATGTGACAGATACCTCTTTCACTCTGACGTGGCGCACGAAGATGGAGACAATCACTGGCTTCCTCCTTGAAGCTACGCCCATGAGTGGTTCTCGTGACACCATCACAAGGACCATCCCTGGAGACAGAACCAGCTACACTTTTACTGGTAGACGTCAACCCTTAAACAACTGGACTGGTTTAGGCTTTTCCTCTGAGGTCATCTATGTGTACAGTTCTTGCTTCACAGTGTGCATTTATGTGTTTTTCAGGTCTGCAGCCAGGAACTACTTACTTCATCAACATGTACGCACTGAATGGAAACACAAGAAGCCCTAAGTATTCTCTCAGGGCCGAAACAGGTACAAAACAAGTATATTTCATGTTGTTTGGGGCTTGAATGTGATTTAAACCCTGAATGGAAACACAAGAAGCCCTAAGTATTCTCTCAGGGCCGAAACAGGTACAAAACAAGTATATTTCATGTTGTTTGGGGCTTGAATGTGATTTAAACCCACCTGTATGCTGGGTCTCATTTCCACTAAATTAAATTGTTGCTTCAAGACATTTAAATGGTATATGTATCTATATTAAGGAGAATTCAAACAAAATTATTTATTTTTTTCACAGCTATGCCTGCAGTTCAGGCTCCCACCGACCTCCAGTTTACATCTTTAACCCCCAACACCATCTCCTTCACCTGGCAGCCACCTCCCACACAAATCACAGGTTACTACGTCACCTACGAAGAGAATGGAAGAGCCCCAAAGGAGCTCATCCCACAACCTCATGCTGGCCAAAATTACGCCACCATAGTTGGTATGTCTAACCTCTCCTCTTTGAATAATACAATTATCAAAAACTTTTTAAAATATTCACCCTTTATTTGAATACCTTTTCTTCTCATGTAATCATACACTAATGAATGACTTCTTAATGATTGATGTTTTTCCTCGGTTCAGGTCTGAGGCCAGCCACAGAGTACATCATCAAGATCATCGCCATGCAAAACACGCAGCAAAGCCAACCTTTAGTGGGAAGGATTAGGACTCGTAAGTAATTAGAAATTTGGACATAAATTTTAAAACGGTTGCAGGTGAATGTGTTTTAAAATGTGTAATCTGAGCCGCTGCTTTCAGTTCCTCAAATGCATTTTTTTTGCTCTAGAAAGCCTTTGATTAAGTAGCTGTTGGCTCCTAAAACCATAAAGCCTTTTTTTAGATTTTGAATGTCTTCATAAATGTCATTCAAAATATCTGCATGTGTTTGTAATAGTACATTGTGACACATTTAGTTTGAGTTTTAGTGCAAAGCTGTGTATGTGCTGCTTCCAGTGTAGCTGAGATAAACTTAGAGAAAGCTTAGAGAACTTTTGCTGCAGCCCAGCCTCCTCTAACCTGCTTGCCCTAACCCGGTCTCTCCTGCCCAGAGCCAGACTCGCTGCTTCCCCAGCCTCTGCCGCAGCCCTACGGCCCCGGGGTTCTTGGCAATCTGGATGTGCCTGAAATTGATGACAACAGAGTCCATTTGACAGGACCCGACCAGGATGTGGTTGGGGGTCAAAGCCAGCATATTGAGTACACAGAGTTTAATAATGGAGGCAACCCACAGTCTCCCAATGAGCAATACCGTGAGCCCCTGGTCTTTGTCCCCCTCCCTGATGCAGAGGGCCGTAGAAAGCCTGTTCTGAAACTCACATTTCCAATCGGAGCCTCGCTTTTTAACAAGACAGGGTTCCCTGAGGAAGCCCAGACTGAAACCAGCATCTCCTGGAAGCCTTACAGGCAGAGCAATGCCTACCTGCTGTCCTGTAATCCCCTCACCAATAGAAATGAGATGTTCCAGGTAAGAAGAGACACCCAAAGCTTTAGTTAAAGCTGTGTATTGCAGGAGCAATAACTAATTTTAAATGTTTTCCAATTTAAAGGTCCGGCTGCCAGGCACAGCCACCACTGCCACCCTGATAGGACTCACCCCAGGAGAAGACTACAATGTATTGGTGGAGGCACTGCTAGGAGCACTCAAGCATAAGGTCCTGGAGCAGGTCATCACCCCCGGCAACAAAGGTAGATATATACAGTTACACATAATGAATTAAGACATAAAACCATAGCAAATGTTATGGACCTCATTCATCACAGCATGAACACTTTAAAGATAAAACTTACACAGAAATTTAAAAAAGAAACTTTTTAGGTACATTATCGGTCATTAGTTTAGAAAAGATAAGCAACAGAAACAGATGATTGAGCATTTAAAAAATGTAACGGTAATTTTTTTTTCCTCACAAGTTCTGATAAATTAAAACTCTTCAGCTCCTGATGTTTAGCTGGAATTTTGCATCTAATAAGTTATATAATTTATTTTATTTGCCAGCTAAAGTTTCAGGACATCAACACGGAGTCTCTCTGTTTAAGATGTTCACCTTTAGGTTTTATTTAACCTGAGGTGTCAAGTAAAAAGAGCACAAATACTTCATTACCTTACTTAAGTAGAAATCTTTGCTATCTATTCTTTACTGGAGGGACTATTGTTTATACATTTTTTTACTTCTACTCCTTACATTTCTTTTTTAACAGACTTCTTAGTTTTCTCTCATTAAAAAAATAAAAACTGTCAAAGTAATTAATTTCAGACTAATTTCTTTGTGGTTGGACTCGGTACTGCACCAACTTGTTGTTCACCACATACCAAAATAAGTAGTTTTTCAAGATGATATAAAGTTAAATTTGACACTGTTCCCATTAGCTATAAAATTAGGAAAATTAAGTATAAGTTAGGTAACATCCACAGTTGTAGAAAAATGTTTCTTTAACAGGTTAGTGCAGTAACCAGTATACAGTTTAAAGCATCCATCTTTTAAACTTTTCCTGCATTGCTTTTATACTTTATTTAGTTTTAAAATGGCACTTTTAAACTTTAACTTGAGCAGAAAGCTTACATCCATACTCTAACTTCTACAAAAGTGTTTTTAAACAGTAGGATTTGTTCTTCTACTTGGGTAATATACATGAATACATTTGACACCTCTGTATTTAACCAAAAATGTTAAATCCATGAAAGGTTTCAATAGGACTATAAACTGTGTAACCCATCTTGTCTGTGCTGCTCATTTAGTCACAATTAGGGGAATCACTAGTTTTAGAAATGAAACAGAAATATACTTTTGTTTTATTAGTTTCGTTATTATTTTTTAAAATGAAGCCATTTTCAAGCAGCACATCTGCACTGGAAAAAAATGAAAGAAGATTAAACTGTAGATTTCACATTTTTGGTTGCTTGCTTGAATATTCAGTTTCAAAATTTTGAAAAAAACGTTTTGATCAGCTAACAGATTTAATATTGACTTGTGAATTCTTAACCTCATAAATGTAATCCTAATCTTCTATTAGTATCAACTGGGGTTCCAAGTACCAGAGAAGACCCATGTTACGACTCCTTCACCGCCACCTACCATGACATTGGTGGTGAATGGGAGCGCATGTCAGAGACTGGATTCAAGCTGTGGTGCAGGTGCCTGGGTGGCGGCCACTTCAGATGTGATTCCTCCAGTAGGTTTTCTGGACACTCATGCTTAAATGTAACCACATGTTTATTATTACTTGCTTTTTTAAATATTTTTTTGGGGTGTTTTCTTATAGAGTGGTGTCATGACAACGGTGTCAACTACCGCATTGGAGAACAGTGGGACCGTCAGTCTGAGAATGGACAACTGATGAGCTGCACCTGCCTGGGAAACAGCAAAGGAGAGTTCAAATGTGAACCACGTAAGGCTTGTTTCACACCAGGGAAATTTTTTGGGGTGTTTTGTGAAATGCAGCAAATTTTAACGTGCATGGACCTTCACAGATTCATCTATGTGCTACGATGAGGGCAAATCTTACCAGGTGGGCAACCAGTGGCAGAGGGAATACTTAGGTGCCATTTGCACCTGTACTTGCTACGGGGGACAAAAGGTTAGATATCAAACTGACCTTTATTTTTTCACATTAAAGCTCAATAGTCCTACTCAATGGTTAACTGAGTTTGTTTCTCACAGGGATGGAGGTGTGAAAATTGCCGCAAACCAGTTTCTGATGTTGATACCAGGTTGTTTCAGTCTGTTGGATATGGAGAAAACACACTCCGAAAAGTGAGTAGACGGCTTTTTTTGTTTTTGTTTTTCTTGATCAAACTTATCACCTTGGTGTTGATGGACTCTTTGCATTTAAATGCTGTTACTCTTTATTTTCCAGAACATCCATTGCCCCATTGAGTGCCTCCGACCTGAGCTGCTAGCGGATGGAATTGCTCCTCAAAATTCTCAGAAATAACTGCTTGATCGGTTGTCTCGTCCTACTTTCGCTCCCTCACCGCCTCGGTTCCTGCACTGTCTCACCTTGTAGAAGCCATGCTTTTAGTGTGACTGCATTATCACTTTTTTTTTCTCCTCTGTTCTTATAATTTACAGCCCTGCAGTCTGGTCTATCCAGATCTCTTTTTCAAACCAGTCGGTTCACTGTTAAAAACACCCGATTAATGCATCCTTTAATATACTATGATTAGACTCAACTGAATGTTCCTTAATACCAAATACAGGCCAAATGAATAGGTTATAGTGGCTACTTGTCTTTCTATGAGATTTTTTGAGTCAGTTCCTTATAAAACGTCAGAAAATAAGTACTGTGTCCAAGAACTCAATTTAATGCTTTTTGTTTTTTACCCATGAACATCTGGTTGTAGCCCTTCCTCTAAGGCCATAAGGTTGCACTGTGAGATTGACAAACGCTGAAAACGTCTATTAATCAAGATTTAGGAATGTTAAGACTAGTATGTGAATGTGAACTGTTCTATTTTTGTACCTTTTCGTCAGAACCAATGTTGTTTTTGCCTTTGACAAAAGAATGACCTTATTTTAATAAAGCTGAAGAGATTCTAAATTGTGAATATACTGCAGTTTATTTTTTTTAACTGAACTCTGAAACCTATACAGTAGGAACACTGGTTAGATTTTTTTCCCCAATCACCAAACAATAATCAAGGTTTAAACAAGTTTTTTAAAATATGCTGCTCAAAAAAAATTAAACACTTTGAAAACCCACCAGATCTCAATGGGGGAAAAAAAAATCATGCTGTTTATTTATACTGTTATGGACTGGGTGATGTGTTAGGAACAAAAGGATGCCACATTATTTGATAGAAATGAAAATTATCAACCTACAGATGGCTGAATTCAAAAACACCCCAAAAATTACAGTGAAAAAAAATTATGCGGCAGGCTAGTCCATTTTGCTGAAATTTCATTGCAGCAACTCAAAATAGTATTCAGTCATTTGTATGGCCCCAACTTGCGTGTATGCTTGCCTGAAAACATCGGGTCATGCTCCTAATGAGAGGACGGATGGCGTCCTGGGGTATCTCCACCCAGATCTGGACCAGGGCATCACTGAGTTCCTGGACAGTCTGAGGTGCAACCTGGCGCCGTCGGATGGATCGAAACATAATGTCCCAGAGGTGTCCTATTGGATTTAGGTCAGGAGAGCGTGGGGGCCAATCAATAGTATCAATTCCTTCATCCTCCAGGAACTGCCTGCATACTCTCGCTACATGAGGCCAGGCATTGTCGTGCACCAGGAGGAACCCAGGACCCACTGCACCAGCATAGGGTCTGACAGTGGGTGCAAGGATTTCATCCCGATACCTAATGGCAGTCAGGGCGCTGTTTTCTAGCCTGCATAGGTCTGTGTGTCCCTCCATAGATATTCCTTCCCAAACAATCATTGACCCACCACCAAAGCACTCATGCTGAATGATGTTACAGGCAGCATAACGTTCTCCACGGTTCTCCAGACCCTTTCACGTCTGTCACATGTGCTCGGGGTGAACTGGTTCTCATCTGTGAAAAGCACAGGGCGCCAGTGGCGGACCTGCCAATTTTGGTGTTCTCGAGCTCCACAGTGCCGGGCAGTGAGCACAGGGCCCACTAGAGGACGTCGGGCCCTCAGGCCACCCTTGTGAAGTCTGTTTCTGATTGTTTGGTCAGAGACATTCACACCAGTGGCCTGCTGGAGGTCATTTTGTAGGGCTCTGGCAGTGCTCCTCCTGCTCCTCCTTGCACAAAGGAGCAGATACCGATCCTGCTGATAGGTTGTAGACTTTCTACAGCCCTGTCCTGCTCTCCTGGAGTACAGGTGCTGGTCATAAAATTAGAATATCATGAAAAAGTAGATTGATTTCAGTAATTCCATTTAAAAAGTGAAACTTGTATATTATATTCATACATTACATACAAACTCATATATTTCAGATGTTTATTTTGTTTAATTTTGATGATTACAAATGACAACAAATGAAAATCTCAAATTCATCATATCAGAAAATTAGAATATTGTGAAAAGGTTCAAAATTGATGGCCCCTGGTGCCACACTCTAATCAGCTAATTAACTCAAACCACCTGCAAAAGCCTTTAAATGGTCTTTCAGTCTAGTTCTATAGGCTACACAATCATGGCGAAGACTGCTGACTTGACAGTTGTCCAAAAGACGACCATCGACACCTTGCACAAGGAGGGCAAGACACAAAAGGTCATCGCTAAAGAGGCTGGCTGTTCACAGAGCTCAGTGTCCAAGCACATTAATAGAGAGGCGAAGGGAAGGAAAAGATGTGGTCGAAAAAAGTGTACAAGCAAGAGAGATAACCGCACCCTGGAGAGGATTGTGAAACAAAACCCATTCAAAAATGTGGGGGAGATTCACAAAGGGCCGGATTTATCAAGATCCAATTTTGCGTGCAGTAATTTGCGCTCGCAAAGTGGAATTTTGCGCGAGGGGCTGAACCATGGTTTGCGGGTGATTTAACAAGAGCGATTGCGTAACTGGTGGCAGGCGCAAAACTGTTGGAGACGCCCTATTTAAATGATGGTTTTGCGCGTTTTGTGGTTTGCGGCAAAGTAGTTTGTAGTTTGTGCAAACTAGTGCATTAAGAAATTTTAATCTTACAGTGACACCACCCCCTCCAAAAAAAGAAATATATATATATATATAAACTTTGGCAACCTTTATTCCCTGGTATGTGGCTGAATTTCTACTTCACCGCAGTAAGAAAAAAACACACAAACACAAAAAAAACAGGTGTTTTTTATCGGCCTGTAGAAAAATGCACATACCAAATGGCTCACAAGAAGTGACTGTGGATAAGATGACTGCATTGGCATGTTGCTCCACAGGCGCAGGGTGTCGGGGTTCTCCGGTAGGGCGTCAGGGCGACATGGCATTTAGAACGTCGGACAGCACTTCTGAAAAACGAGATTGGGAGATCCCAGATGCAAAAAAGTGGAATGTTGCAAGGAGTTTTGTGATATCTGGTATTGCGTGGGTCCTCCTTGTGGCTGGCTCCAAATCCATTCGGAGTTCCCCCAACAGCACCAAAATGGCAATGCTGGATAAACGATATGTTTTGATGATCGTTTCCTCGTTCATTCCAAAAATATTCACACGGAGTGAAAAAATGCGTTCTCTGCGTCTCCTTGCTTCATTTCGATGTCTCCTTCTTGCGACAATAACCGCTGCCATGTGTGCGCAATTACGCATACAGACCATTTGCACCTTCTTTTGAAACGTGTTAAATATAGAGTCAGATACCGTTAGCAAAATTGCTTTCAGGTTTAATAAATCACTTTGCGAGTGCTAAATTAATATATTTACATGTTCTCCTCCCACAAGACGCACTTTAGCGTGTAAACGCCCCATATTGCATATTCATTGCAGAAAAAGTACTAAATGGATAAGAGGCGCTATTTAGCACGTTTTAAAGACCAAATCCTTTTAGCGCACTGTTGATAGATCAGTTTGTACATTTTTTAGCGTGCGCAGTGAAATAGCTCACGTTTTAATACACGCAAACCTTTGATAAATCCGGCCCAAAGAGTGGACTGCAGCTGGAGTGAGTGCTTCAAGAACCACCACACACAGACGTATGAAAGACATGGGTTTCTGCTGTCGCATTCCTTGTGTCAAGCCACTCTTGAACCACAGACAGCGTCAGAAGCGTCTTGCCTGGGCTAAAGAGAAACAGGACTGGACTGCTGGTGAGTGGTCCAAAGTCATGTTCTCTGATGAAAGTAAATTTTGCATTTCCTTTGGAAATCAAGGTCCCAGAGTCTGGAGGAAAAGAAGAGAGGCACTTCATCCACGTTGCTTGAAGTCCAGTGTAAAGTTTCCACAGTCAGTGATGGTTTGGGGTGCCATGTCATCTGCTGGTGTTGGTCCATTGTGTTTTCTGAGGTCCAGGGTCAACGCAGCCACATACCAGGAAGTTTTAGAGCACTTCATGCTTCCTGCAGCTGACCAACTTTTTGGAGATGCAGATTTCATTTTCCAACAGGACTTGGCACCTGCACACAGTGCCAAAGCTACCAGTACCTGGTTGAAGGACCATGGTATCCCTGTTCTTAATTGGCCAGCAAACTCTCCTGACCTTAACCCCATAGAAAATCTATGGGGTATTGTGAAGAAGAAGATGCAATACACCAGACCCAACAATTCAGAAGAGCTAAAAGCCACTATTAGAGCAACCTGGGCTATCATAACACCTGAGCAGTGCCACAGACTGATCGACTCCATGCCACGCCGCATTGCTGCAGTAATACAGGCCAAAGGAGGCCCAACTAAATACTGAGTGCTGTACATGCTCATACTTTTCATGTTCATACTTTTCAGTTGGCCAACATTTCTATAAATCCTTTGTTTTTATTGGTCTTCAGTAATATTCTAATTTTCTGATATGATGAATTTGAGATTTTCATTTGTAATCATCAAAATTAAACAAAATAAACATCTGAAATATATGAGTTTGTATGTAATGTATGAATATAATATACAAGTTTCACTTTTTAAATGGAATTACTGAAATCAATCTACTTTTTCATGATATTCTAATTTTATGACCAGCACCTGTAACTGCCTGTCTCCTGGAATCTCCATGTTCTTGAGATTGTGCTGGGAGACAAAGCAAACCTTCTGGCAATGCCACGTATTGATGTGCCTTCCTGGAGGGATGCAGCTGAAACTGATTAACAACCCCCACTGCTACTTACCTGACCAAATCAATATCGCAGAAGTTTCATTAACTTATTGCTATATTCTGATTACAAAGTGTTTCTTACATTTTTTTTGAGCAGTGCATTTTCCTACTGTTACAAAAACAGAACTTTAATGCAAATAAACAATGACCTTCCAAAACACCTGAAATTTTGATGTATTGCAGAGCAAATGCACAACAAGCTAATAGCTTACCAGCCTGCAGGCAATAGCTTAATGTTTATTCACTCCAAAGTTTCTGGCTTAAATGGTAAAATAGCATAAATTTGAGAGTGACCAGAGGTACTCATTTAGTTTCAAAGACTCATTATTTTGAGCAAAGAAAAACGGGAACAAAACAACTCATGAAGGTTTTTAACCTACTGACAAACTAGTCTTTGCTTAATGCAGCTTGTACAAATAAAGTCCATCACATTTATGAACAGATGAAGTTATTAGAGAATTCTGATCCAAAAAGGGACATAATTTAATTCTGCAAAAACAAAATAAAACAAAAATAAATCCTGCATAGAAAAACAAGAGGGGTAACTGTTTCATTGGGCTTTTGTTCTCAGACCCTTTAATGAGTGGTTAAACTGACTTTCAGTAGCTTCTTGGAGACCCCTAGAGGACAACCGTGCATATGATTTGGGACTGTCCAAATCTTTTGGATAAACATCTACAAATTCCTTTTAAATTTGCCATAGAAGAGCATTCCTTCCATGCCTGAAATCCTGCTCCTAAACAATAGTATAGTGTATTTGAAAAACATACAGTTAACCGGACTAAATGCAGCTAAAGGTTTTATCGTTTACAGATAAAAATAACCACACTTTGTTAACATGCTATAGTGGCCAAGCATTTTTTTG